AACTGGCGGCGACATCTGCAGTCACTCCAAGCACCCTTCCCCGATTACAGGGTTTTCCGTTAGGAGTGCAACAAGCTTTCAAAAAAACCCCTTGTCTTTTGGAACAGTCTGCAAATTTTTAAATTTTTCATCTTGTTCTTGGAGAATCAGTATCTACCTTAACACATTCCATGACCATTGCATTAAGACGACTGAGTTACCCTTGTGGCTATAAAAGCTGGGGTATGTTGCTGACACTCATTAGAGGTGAAGAAGCTACTTGGGTGGGTCGCAAAATGATATGTACTTCAACTTTACAGAACAAGTCCAGTTGAATGTGACTAACTACTAGCTTAGCCTTAGCCAAATGACTTGGGTAGGAAGCGAGCAGCACAAAACAATTGGTCTGGGGGGGGACAGAAAGCATAAATCTAGCAATACAATACATTTTCCCTATGACTACTGGAACTATCTCAAACTCAGTATGCTGCATAGGCAATATATGTATCCCAGTGTGTGTGCATATAATTTTTTCCCCTAAATAGTAACATCACTAATGCTGCTTACACTGTTGTGTTGAATTAATAATATGTGTGGTTCAATGTGTAATCAGCTAATGGTGTAAACAGCCATTTTCCAGACAGGGAAAAAAATTCTGGGCATGTTTCTTGAAATGATATCTTCATTAAAGCATAGCACGCAGTGCTGAACAAGAAGTGCAACACGTCTGTTGTTTTAGCAAATGAAATAATTTACTTTCAAACTTAATATTACAGGATTAAAATTATTTTGTAAGGAACACAATCAGTCGTAAAATACAATGCAACTTTTATATTAGCTGTGCTTTTGCTTTGAATGTTCGTGGAGCTTGGAAATGACAGATTTGTATAATTTATAATGTGTAATTAAAACAAAATAATAAAAAAAAGCTTTACCCAATTCAGATGGGCAGCTTACAAATGTTTTTTTTAAAAATAAGTGTCTATGCTAAAGTACATCAACACAAATTACTTTCTGATAAGAAAAACTCAAAATTAAACTTGAATATAAACA